CGATTAACTACTTAATTTATTTTAATTGATTCCCGGCCTAAAAAAATCTATCTATCTATCTATCTATCTATCTATCTATCTATCTATCTATCTATCTATCTATCTATCTATCTATCTATCTATCTATCTATCTATCTATCTATCTATCTATCTATCTATCTATCTATCTATCTATCTATCTATCTATCTATCTATCTATCTATCTATCTATCTCTATATATATTTTTTTAATTGATTTTATTGGGCCAAGAACCTCACACCAGTGGTGTTCTGTTGCTAAGTACACGTCTTCTTCACCACGTCTAGATGACTAAATGCTTTGAGTTGCTGCCGTCTGATTGGCTGATCAGCTATTTGAGTTAACAAGCAATTGAACAGGTATACCTAATAAAGTTGCTAGTGAGTTTAAAACTGTAAAACAGAAGTAAAAAAAAATCCTCAGCAGATTTAGTCAGACCTTTAGTATTCTCAGAGATACAGCAACAGTGTCAACAAAAAGCAAACCAAACCTCTACACAGAGCCGGATTAACGCAAAGGCAAAGTAGGCACGTGCCTAGGGCCTGATTGGCTGGATGGGGCCCAGACAGAGGAACAAAATTATAAATAAATAAAAAAAAAATTAAATGTACACATGTCCTATTATAGAATGTGTAGCTAGGACTCCTATCTACAATTTGTTTCAATATTTATTAATTAACTAAAAATAGTGACAATGTTTATCTTAACCATAGACCGTTTCATTGGCTACGTCACATTAAACCTCTGGGGTCCACGGACAAGTATACGCGTCTTTTGAACAGGTCTGATTTGGGACGCTGTAGCAGCAAGACTCCGCCTCCCTGAGTTTCGGTTTCAATTCAGCTTTCAAAGGCAGATTATAAACTACACCCCAGTTTTTAAATTTTGTTAATAGGCAACGTAAAAGCGGAGCTATACTAAACTAAAAAATGACCTATTTTTAGACAATCTGATAACTTGTCAAAACAGCGGTTTAGTAATCTGTGAGTGGGAATGTGCTTGAGAACATTAAAAACCCACAAAAACACGAGATCCTTTTGCTGTTGGTGGACGTCTCACATATTCAGCTGATAAAAAGTATCACACGAGTAACGAGATGTGCGCAAAAAGGAGCCGCTTCGCGGGGAAAGGAGTGGCGCGAACGGAGTAACAACAAACAATTAGACAGATATTGACGGTAAACTTTGTATTTTGGAGCGATCCGGACAGATATCTTGTCTCTGCAGTTTAGTAGGCTTTTATTAGGCTTTAATAAAGGATGATGAGAAGGATAAATGTCCACCAGGCAGTTCAGATAGTATGGCTGTTTTTTGAACTGGAAGCAGAGGAAGTGAACGGAGACTCGCAGCTGGAGTCTGAGGCAAATAGCGAGGATGATGATGATGATGTGGCAGATCCATCCTTCCTCATAGAAGAGTTGGGCCATGATGAGGTAGAGGATGAAGGCAGAGATCCAGCTCCTCGGAGATCCAACAAGAGGAGTGGGCGGCGCCGCGCAGCTGTCAGATCTCGGCGTGAGACAGAGCCACTCCCCACTCCAAAATCCATGTACATTATTGCCAAATTAATAAATAAGTATAAATTCAGATAGTCCAGGTTGTCCTGAAATTAATGATACCCCATAAGGCAATATTTATTGTTTTTATTAGAAAATACAAAAGAAAAACCAAAATGAGTCAAAAACGGTGATTTACACTCTGGATCCCAGAGAGCTAATAATTTTTTTTAATTAGTTATTTGCTATATTTAGTCATATTTTTTATAAATGTACAGTCTAGATTACCAGTCTAAATGATAAAAAACATTTGTCATAAATGTTTGTTGGTTTCACAGTAAAATAAACAACTTTTTTCCTATTCAGATTTTATGTTTTTGAGTGATTTAAGGTCTAATACGCAACCCCTTTATGTCCAAATATACAAAATAAGTATAGATTCATAAAGTCCAGGTTGTGCTGAAAAGATTGATACCACATAAGGTAGTGGTTATGGTTTTTATTTTGGAAATACAAAGGAAAACTCACTGCAAATTACACCCTGGACCCCAGAGGGTTAAGGCGCCACCGGACGTCAGAGAAGCGGTCAGAGTCAGAGCGGGACACAACAAAGCTAGCAGGTGTTTTTGAGTAGGCTAACTTTCACGATGCTTTCGGGTGTGGCAAAACGTAAAAAAGAAAAATATTTAAATGAAGAGGAACTAAAGAAGAGACAGCGGGGGGCTTTACAGAAGTTTCTGTCGGGCTGCTCGGGCAGCCGTCCGACAGCTGTGAACATGCTCGAGTCAGCAGAGCCAGAGGCCGGGCCCAAGTCAGACCCGGAGGAGACACAACCCGAAGACGCGGTGGAAGATGTGGCGGAAGATGCTGTAGCGCCAACGCCGTCAACATCAGCGCCTTCACAGAAGGACAAACTGGAAGAACAGCAGCCAGCCAGAAGTGAGCCCAATATAGTCTTATAGGAGCCTCTAGACCCAGACAGGGTATTAACAACTAGCTACCCATCTGATCCTGCAAAGTGGTACCAAACTGATGAGTACTTTGCACTAAACTATCCCTCTCAAAATATTGGATATTCTTCTGCATCACAGAGGAAATCTGGAGACATAGACTGAAGCTTAACCAAGGAACATTTCTTTAGACGTGTTTCTGCTGTGACTGAGGCCATGTGATGCTGGAAGGCTGAAGATTATCCCGGAGTAGATAATGCTAAATGGTTTCCTTGGTAAGTGTTGCTGGTTTTATTAATTATTTGTCAAATAATTTTATTAATGTTCAAATAGCAAAACAATAAGTTCACACTCAGAAAATTGACAGAATTTCTGATTCAGCAGAGGCAACAGCCTACAACACATGACTTATTTTGGCATACAAACAACCAATTTGTAACCAAAAACTAGGCTATGTAAAATGTGAATGAACTTTTATAAGTAAATTTTGTAAGTTTCAGATTTCAATTCATTACATAACATCGAGGGGGGGGGGGGGGGGGGGGGGGGGGGGGCTAAAAATACAGCCTGCCTAGTGTAGTCCATTTATTTAATCCGGCTCTGCCTCTACATGTCAAAACCTAATAAAAATTTGGAAAAGTTTGAACATTATGTCATGTGGTTTAATGAGATCAACTTCCAAAATGATAAAAATGAATCGGTCATGAAAAAAGTCTAAAATGTTTGGAGAATTCATGTCCCAAAGGTTCACCTCAGCCTTTGGAGATCTGCGTCATAATTTTGTTTTTTCTTTCTGTTTCACATAAAACATTTCCAAACCTACTGAGCAATGAACTGTGCACAAATAGTGGCCCACCATATTAATATAGTTGTATTTGATGCTATCTCTAAACAAAATGACTGCAATTAATACTGTTTATTCTTTTTAATTGTCTTTTTTCCCAGTTTGAAATGTGGAACATACTAGAGCTTACTTGACAGACATGTTGTGGATCATTTCTGTTTTCCATTCTTTCACACAGAGCTGTTGCACCTGCGGCCACAAAGCACTGGAGGAAACTGGTGCTGTCTGCAGGGGTCAGAGGTTAACTGATCTTAGCTGTGGCAAGTACTAATAACCTACGGTAATACCATCCATCAGCTGAATGACATTACTATGTCAACTGTCCTGATGACCAAAGCTGTCAGTGGAGATTCACCAGATCTGGAAACCATTTTCATTTAATATAAGTGGCAAACCCATTAGTTTTCTTCTCCATCTCTACCAGCTACACCACTCTCCCATCGTTCTTTACATTTCAAACGTAAAAAACCCCAACATGCATGTAAACCTCCCACAGGACACACGTAAGACTGTCGAGAATGTCACCCAAAACCCATAAGATGCTGATCCACAAGATGAAGCTTGCAGTTTTACAGTCTTGGTATTGTTGCGTGACATACAGCCAACACAATGTCCAATGAATGTGTAGGGGAAATTAAAACCCCAGTTATAATCTCCTATCTGGAAAATTTCAAACCAACACCAAAAATCACCCTAAAAGAGCACAAACATCCAAGTTACCCCAATCCAGATAACTGTTACAAACCTACAATGCATCATACTCACAGAATGTCGTTAAAGACACTTTGTGGACACACGACCTCAGGGTTCCTGGCATTGTGTTTTGTGGTTCTTTTTATTCTGTTGTTCCACTGAACAGAGATATTCAGACTGTTATTTTAGGACCACATGTCTGCAATCCCATAATGCTGTCTTTTAAATTATTCCGTTTATTTGTATTTCCAGAAATCAGTAATATATAAATATTTTATTCATGTCACAAGTTGCCAAATTACGTTCCTCTTTGAAATGACAGAACTATGGAACTGGCGACAGGACTGCAATTCTCTCAATAATCATGTCAGTGCTGGTCTCAGCGGCCAGCAGTGATTTATCAGAAATCTCCCTCCTGGGTCGTAACTGTGTAAAGGGACCTAGTAGAACAATTAAGGGAGGTGGATGCACACGTGTTGTGCCACTGGGCAGATGTATGTCTCCCCTTGGAAACATGCTTTATTACTGCAGAGGCAGGAAAAACACTACTGAACTTTATGTCAAGTGTTTTGCTGGAGTTTTTAATTAGAAGTCATATGAGACTAAAATGTTTTTATTTGTTGCTGCTGGGTTTTTGTGTCTTTAATCAACTGTACATCCCCCAATAACTGATAGAGGGAACAATATCCTCCCCCTAAAAAATATAAAAACGTATTCAATTTTTATTGTGATATTTTGAAAAATAACATAACAGTGATGTATTAAGGCACATGGGACTTTTTACTGACATTAACCTATTTAAATGGAGAAGTCTCAAAAGGTTGACTATCATCTACCTCCCTCTGGAGGCTTGAGGCTGCAAATACATCACTCTTTACCCATGACTGTTCCTTACCATGCATTTGGAACGTTACACCAAAAGTATAAATCAGATCGCTGCTTTTTTCATACAAGTATAAAAATATCAATCTACTTGTGTAAAAGAAAAGACAACTCAGATCCAAATCAGCGTCTTTATTTTACAAACGCATTAATCTATGGACAATTTCTTTATATAATAAAAAGGCAATTTACAAGCTTAAGAACCCAAATGAAGCAGCACAGAATGATTATGAGTAAAATATATAATTTGAATAAATATATTTGTTTCATGCTATAAAATAAATTCATAAATGGCAATAGATACAATATCAGCTGTAGCTAGCTTCATTTACTTCATAGTTGTATAAAACAGTAGAGTTCTGAGGTTCACAGTTGGGTTGTGAGGTTGTGTGTAGAGTGGACAAAACAGGAGAAGAGACCGTTCTGCTGTCATGGTTCGGTTTGTGGTCTCCAGAGGGCCTCCACTTTTAATTTTGTGGAAAACAAGAACTTGTTTGATCTTGAAGGTTTAAGAACCGCTGACTGAAGCTTTGTATCCCCACCTGACTACAACTGTACTAATCCACTACAGACGAAAGGTGGATGTCCATTTTTAGCATGGTATACCCTGAGTTTGATGTTGGTTTGTTTTTTGCCTCGTCACCAAACACATGCAAGCCAGAGGCATTACAGTGCAGTTTCAGGATTTACAAAAAGGGATAAAGAACATCAGCTGGTCCAAAAACGTCCTGTCTGACCTTGAACTACAACAGTTTCCTTGAAGCGTGAGGAACCAAAGGAGATCATTGAACTTCGACAAGCCAGGAAATAGCCCACTTCCAAACAGTGGCGATACAGCCCAAAAATCCCTTTTATTATTTAGACTCAGGTGGAAGTGCACCTCTGAGTTTATCACTGAACCACAGGCTCACTTTCTGCATTGCAGTTTACTCCCTACCGCTGGATTTAAAACATCTCTTAGCAACACCATTTTCACTTGAACATTTTAAGCTAACCTGTCCAAAGTATCACAAGGTATATATAACAAAGCAAATCGATACCAAATTGTCGTGGTCCTACTTTAACAACGCCCTGGCATTTAGTTTTGATACGTAACAGGCCAATATTTGTAGCCTTGATGATCCAAAACACCACTTTCACTTTCAAAAACATGTTATTGCTGTTCTTTCAGTAATACACAGTGGACAGAAACTGACAGAAAAGCCATGGAAGACTTGTGATTTTTGTTTCTAAGCCTGTATCAGTGTTTGTCAACTACCTGAAGTGAGTTTTTTTAATAAAAGGAATAGGACAAGCTGCAATTTCAAAAAGTAGTCTGACAGCCGTCCCTTGTAAACGCTTCCTTTTGTGTATTTGTGGCCCAAAAAATGCATTTCCTTTCACTCTCAAGAGAGGTGGAACAAAACGTTGACTGGGAGCCGATGTTAGTGTGTCAGGTTCACTTAGTTCTGTAGGTATGCACTATCACACATGTATCTTATTAAAAGTCTTAAAACAATTCTGCCTCCATTTACCAATCATGAATATGGATTTGTTTACCAGTCTGAGATAAACACTGACTGTTGAAAAAGCACCACATACTCATTAAAATAATTGGGAACAAGCACTCAGTCCCTACCAGGTACATACTGAGCTTAAGACTTTCTTGATGGAACAAATCAACCATAAGTGCACAATCAATAAAAAATAAAAAAGAAAGCCCAAAGTTAAAAGATTTCAATTGGCAATTTTTTTTTTTTACAATTTTGTGGTTGAGCAACGTGCAATTCGGCTACAGTATAAGAAGACAAGCTTTGTTTTTCCTGTAAAAATATTCAGTAGATCATCTGCTAAATATTCAAGCAGTTTTCTGCTCCAAAGGAACAGAAAGGAAGTAGATTTGTGTTTGTCATGCACCTCCTTCCTTGCGTAAACTGCTCAGATTGTCTTAAGAGTACAGTCTCTGAACAGCGGGGAACAGGAAACAAGCCTGCCTTTCCTGATTGAGATCAACTGCTACTAAATTAGTCCCTACCTGTCCCCATGCCGAACAAGAGAAAACCAAGAAGAGGGAAAGAAGGAGAGCACACAAAAAACATGGATTCTTCTCATTAATGGTAACACCTGACAATAAACGTGGCCATTCGACTCTATTGACTTATTTACCCTAAAATGAACGAGGCACAGAAATGCAAACGCCAGAATCTAAAATATAAAGCTGGTGGCAAGGCACTAAGTTTAAGATGCCACTCTATAATTTTCCTTTGTCTCTCTTTTAAGCAGACTTTAAGCAAATATGACTCCTATTGCACAACTTATCTATTACCAGCTTTTGTATGGCTTCATATCTTATATTACTTATGACTTCACTACTCAATATGTTCTTAGCAACTTGTTCTAATTTTACACAAATGATTGTTACAAGCCAAGGAACAAGCATTACTTGCAAATAGCAATAAACTAATAATCCTACATTAATTTAAACCATGCTTCAATGACGCATCATAATTCAAAGGGACTGTAAGTCATCCATTAGTCTTTGGTGAGGTGTCTTGGCACAAGATTATTTGAACAGTTTGTATCTATGATTCATAGAACAATAATCACATTTCTCCCTCAAAGAAAAAGACGTTCTTATATCATCTAAAATTGGGAAAAGTTCCTTACTGTGACATTTTAACTAGTCAGCAACTGATTTTGGTTAAGGTCAAGTCAGTTGACGAAGCTGCCCGGGCAGCTTCAGACAGATATAAGCTTCACTTGGTAAACATTTATAGGCCGACAGACTGTTAGCTGTAATCAAAGGTGTGTGACTGATTCGTACACAAAGAAAAAGAAAAGCTAGCTATGCTGATTGTAGCCAAATTCTTAAAATTTTGGTTCGCCATCTTTTCTGTCGCAGAGTAAAGACGACAACTGCACATTCAGAAGAAAAAAAAAGGACTGACACTGCTTCAAACTGAAAATATGATCCCAACAAATGCAGTTAGTAGAAAATTAATTAAAAACTGTAAAATATTCAATCTAAGGTCTTTGAAAATGATTCAGCATAGGACAAAACCTATATAAAGCACGTGCTCTTCCCAAAAATAAAAGACAGGGTAAAAGCATTTAACAGCTTGATGGTGAATAAGAAAGCAGAATCCCACATAAAACCCACCTGGCTGAGCTTTAATTTTGCAAAATAAAAAATAGTAGTAATAATAATCCGACACGTTTCAAGTGCCCATCATATATAAAACATCCCGTCCCTGATCCCCATAGCACAAAGAGATTAGATTAAACAAGTCATACCACATGCATGACTTCTATTCAATAGTATTAATGATTGCAGAGTGTCATTAAAGTTACTTTTTAAACAGGTGAATGTACTGCCCCAGAGCCAGTCACCTGGATGATGCAGGTTTGTTCGGTCCAATCGCCTCAACAGAACTCCACCCAAAAATCCCTCTGCAAAGGGCATCAATACTTTGAATAGCCAACTACCTTTAAATGATTTAGTTTTTACCATAAATTCAGCTATAAGTCACATCCATGATGATGTAATAAAAATGAACTGACAAAACGAGAAAACCATGTTATTAATCTGTAACAACAGAAAAATGAAACAAAGAAGTCTTTTCAAACACCGGATTTAAAACCATCTGACAATGGCTGAAATTCCTTTGTTCATTCTTTTTGCATATTGTTCAAGACTGCTCCGTATGTGCTAGATTGACGGTGAGTACCCTCGTCTCTGTCAAACACTGAGTATTACATTGGAAGCCTCTCTTGGGATAAAACAAGTACACATACTTTATGTATAAATGTGCCATAAGGGTATAGAGGAATACAAACTGTTACTGCGTGGACGTAATTCACCCATTACATGGATGACAGCATCTAAATCCAACTGAACGAGACTTCCAGTACTGATGTGCGATAAAATCCTGAAGTGATTTGAATAACAGTTTTTACAAAACAGAAAAATGCATCTTTAAATCATATCACAGCCATTCTCTTGAACTGTTTTCCACATTTGCTAAAAGCACATAAGCTAGCAGGCTTAATGCACTCCTAACGTAGCACCTTCTTAATCATAGTTTAACCTAGCTGATCATGAAACGAGTCCTCATTTCACAATCAGCAAGGAACATTTCCCCCCCCAAGTATCAAGGCTTTGTGTAAAAAGAACATTTACTACAGAGTTTGGCAATAAGATAAACTGTACATAAAACCTAAAACGGATTCAAACTGTGTGCACATCTGTGCATTGTAGGTTCTTGGTTATGAGGTAGAACCTGGTGAGTTTAAGTTAAAATACTGTCTGTTATGAGTATGTAGTTGCATCATGAGGTATTGAACGGATATGTCACACTAAGCTTTGCACTGGCAGAAAAATCATTCCTTGTGAGTAAGTGACCTCCAGTGGCCACATGTGCAAAAACAGGTCAGGTAAAAAGGTGATATGACAAGCATCTTACCAGAGCTTTCACATTATCAATTATTGCAACATGCCTATATAACTCTGTAAATAGTTTAAAAAAACATGGAAAGATAAAGAGAAATCAACTAGAGGTCTTGATTATTAGGACCACCTCAAAAATAGTAAGTTGTTACTCCCTTTGCTTAAATGAATTCTTATAAAGCATCTCGTTTTCTCTCTGGATTTAGCATCTCACTTTCAAAACATTGACAGAAATCCTTGTCTCAGGAAAGGTCCTTGAAACACTGAGCTGATTCAAAAAGTGAGTGCGTTAAACTGGGTTGAAATGATCATTTTTTAAAGCTTGCTTCCCCTGAAGCAGGACCTAAAAGTCACATCTGGATGCTTGAGCCTCCTCTGGACTGCATTTGGAACTCTCTTCCATATCATTAGCCGGTGCCTCTTCTGCATATTGCGCCTCAAAGGCCATCCCCTCTGTTGGGTCTTCTTGGTCTTTCTGACCCGAGCTTCCCTCCATTCTCTCTGGGGAATCCATATGATTCCTGATCTCTGATGCTCCCATGTGCTTCTTTCTCAGGTGTTGGTTAAGGGTGCCCTGAAATGGGAAGCATTTTCCACAGATCTGACAGTGGAAGGGCTTGTTGTCTGTGTGGCCACGGATGTGGTACTCCAGCTGGTCTTTCCTTGTGTACTTCTTGCCACAGAATTTACAAACAAATGGAGTAATCCCCATATGTAGACGCATGTGGCGGTCCAGACTACCTTTTTGATTGAAGGTCTTTCCGCAGTAAATGCAAATGAGTCTCTCGTTGTAGGGATACCACTGGCTCCGTAGGCTACGCTCTCGCACATCATTTTCCAATCCAGTGGCACCCACAACTTGTTCGCCATCATCTGAGCCAGGTTTGACATTACTTAGCACTCCTGCTGTAATGGCCACGGGGCGCTTGGCTCTGGCTCGCCCACCTCTGACACCACTAAGCAAGGAACGAGAAGGACTGGAGCTGCTCAGGTTGACAAAACACGGGGAGGACAACCCTGAATAAGAATATGCAGCAGGCTGGATGACTGAGCCATAGGATCCCACACTAACAGCAACAATCTGATCTCCATCCACAAACTCTGTGTGGTAGCCATCATCACCAGCCGAGGAACTATCTGAGTAACTTGGCCTGTCCGTTTTCTCTACTTTTACATGAACATCCGTTACTTGTCCATCTTTGCCAATCAGTTCTACTTGCTCCATTTCAACCTCAGTGGGGGCATCTTGCTCCGATACGCCATCACTACTGCCGCGATCCGACTGGCCTTCCTCTTGTTGCCGTACTCGTCCTTGGCCTTTTCCTGCCAACTCCAACCGTGCATCAATGCCTGGCTGATTCTGCCGGGAATAATAAGGGGGGGAGATCTGGCTAGGGTTTATAAAGAGATTGCTGTCATTCACGCCATTGTGACTTGTCTGTAAGTTGTCCTTCTCTGGGCTGCCAGCACTAACGGGAAGGCTGATCTTGGAATGGATGCCCTCCAGGATTTTGGTGCACTTATCAATGATTGCCTGCATCTGAAGAAAGCTGGCTGCAGTAAGGAAACTGATTATATCCTTGAGCTGTAGGGACATGTGACCTGTGTAGCAGAAAGCAAGAAGCTGCTCAAACACCTCTGGGCTTTTGATGACTGAGATGGAAAGACCACTCATGGTGCTGAGAGCAGAGTGATCACGAAAGTAGGGTGAGCTAGCTGCCAGCACAGCCTTGTGAGCTCGAAATGGCTGGCCCTGAATGTGAACAATGATGTCACACAGTTTCCCTTGCAGTCGCAACTCATTGAGTTGAGTAAGAACAGTGTTACTGAACTCCGGCACATCAAACTCGATGTAGGTGCCGTCGTCGTCCATTTCTTGGATACGTTTCTCCAGTTTGCCGACAGCCTGAAGAAAAGGCAGAGAAAAACAAACAAAAGTTGTTTTATTATTTATGACACTAAAGTACAGCATAAATAACATTATCATACATAAAAAGATCTACAAACAATAACCAAAATAAAGCTAACACGTTGTTATTATATTGCGTACCAACATATGTGGAGAAAACTGGGCTGGCATGTATAGAATTTCTCAGAACAATAGTTTCCAAGCCCACCTTGCAGTTGTGATACACAACCCCATGTTTCAACTCAGGTTCAGTTTCACATGCCACTATATATGCATGCATGTGTGAATTCATAATGAAGATTAACACATCGCACATGGGTCTGAGTAGCACTGCTGTTAAAATTGGTCCCAACACATGAAAACACCTAAGGAGAAAAGATTCAGCGTGTTACAGATCTATACAGTTACGATGACCTAAATATGCATATTCAATTTAAGTTCCATTATTATCATGTCAATTCTTCAAGACCTTTTGCTTTCAGTTCTATAATGCTTCTGCAGAGGAGGAAGTAAGGGAAGGCAGATTAACCACATTAATTCGACTGAACAAAATGTACCAGACCGTGACTTTACAGATACGTTAGTCAGGCTGTACAGGTATAGTGTACATACAGCATTTGGCAGAAAAAGAGGAAAGTCTGGTTCTGCCTGGTGTTGTATGCACCAACTGTTCTTGAGAAGATAATCTTCTGAGCAGTCCAAAAGCAGACCGACTTTTTGCTGTTGCCTATAAGTGATAATGCTTTTTGATGCTGTCTCTCCAGACCAGGGGTCACCAACTTCAGTCCTTGAGGGCCACCATTCCATAGATCTGTTTCCTTGCTCCAAAACATCTGATTTAAGTTTACAGGTAAAAAAAAATAAATAAAACAGGCATCTGCAGACCTCTACCCAATGAGGTGGTAATAAACCACTTGATCCAGGTGTGAAGGAGCAGGAAACTTGTAAAACACACAGGATTGGTGAACCCTAGTGGATAGCCACACCTGCCAAAGCCTCACTTTGAATACAAGCATTGTACTGCATACCTCAGGTAAAAAAAAAAAAAAAAAAAACAGGTTTCCACCTAACATTTAAACTTCATGAATGTGTAGTGCAGGACACCAGTAAAGCATTACTACCCCAGCAAAGTAAAACATAGAAATGACTCTTAATAAAATAAGTATAGCTTGTCTTTGTCAAACTAAAACCAAAAGTTAGCAATAGCACTAGTGTCCTGGACTTTTAGGTGTCGAAATGCAAAGTTTAAAACTATTTAAAAGCTTTAAATTGACCTTTTACAAGAAAAAAGTTACCTTAAAGTGGTTTTACACTAAACTGCCTGTTTAACTTCGTGTGTGCACAAAAAAACAGTTAATATCAATAATTGTGTCAGGTTCCCCCCTTTAACCCTCTCATCCATCTGTCCTTCACCCCCCCACCCCCACCCCCCACCCTTATAACTGGCTACTCAGCACGATCCTCTCTGCATGACGCGTTCTCTTGGGGCTTTGAGGATGTTTCTCCTACTGCAATAGCTTGCCAAGACACCTGTGCAATAAACCATATGTGCAATTCTTGGCACCAGAAAGAGAACATTGAGTCAAATTCCAAACCTAAAAACTGTTTTGAGGTTATGCTTAATTTTCACACCTGCTGAGACATTTTAAATACAACATTTTGACACTAAAACACAGTAGCAATAGCTGCCAACAGCATGCAGACTCAGAGCCCAGTGGAAGAGTGATTGCTCAGTTGCTAAAATGTACATGCTGAGTGAGGGTCACATGCTTGGCCAAAAATGTTTGAACTCAGCTTAAAAAAAATCTGTTGGTGTCTCAAATTCCTTGTTAGATAACGAAATTGATACAGCTGCTACATGAAGCACACAAACAGGAAGCAAAACACACTAAAACACGATACGTGAACTTACTGAAGATCAGCTGAGCTCTAGAGAAAAGATGTCTCCTAATGCTTGGATTTTAAAAGTTTGTCATTTCAGTTGGGAAACGGAAAAACCAAGTCAGCAGACGAGCCCAGTGTGCTTTCTTCAACATCAGCAGCATTTGCCTACTTTGAAAAACTGTTTGTGGGCCACACCAGACGCAGGACAAATTTGCTTAACAAGCACAGGATGGAGAGCAATTTAAAACAGATAGTAAACCATCTACACAAAAATAGACCCACTTGTGAAGGACCTAAGGGACAGAAGTGAAAATAACATCCTGAACAATGCTAATCTTGCTGCAGAAAGTCATCCGTGTGCAGAAATTGCAAAAAGAGACTGAATATGGAGAACATAAATGGAGAAAACTAAACAGTTGTTTCTTATTTCACCCTAATGACATGCTAATGCAATTAAAGCAAAATAAGGTCCTACAAGACTTGAACCCATCCTCACTATCTCTCCCCTTTCTAACGAGATGCCATCAAAGCACTGACCAACAGAAACGGAATTATACTAAAATGTTACACAAATGTTTCAGCTATACAAAACACAGGTTGGAAATATCAAGTCTGACTCTAAAAAGAAGTCAGACCACATTTTGGAAAGTCTAAAGAGGTTTTGTAAAAAATACTTTAAAGATACGTTACAAAAAATTTCAGATGGGCATAATTTGTGGGGAAATTAATAAATACATATAAATAACCTAAATTATTACATGTTTTGAATACAGAGTTTTATCTTTGATAAATGGTACCTATGGTTTTGCTATATTTGAACTGCACCTCTGTATTTCTTTTATTGACTGTATAGTCGATGGTATTGAATTTGTAAGGACCTTGAAAGAAATTTCACGAGTGGAAATGAACTTACCCGACTGACACAATGACTGTTTATTGCTGAGATGAATAAAAACCCTGGACCAAATGTCTTTTTCTCCAAATTGTTTAAAATATTTTTAATGAAATGGTATAAAATTTATGTTTTTCAATGTATCATGTAAAGCACTTTGAACATGACAAATGTAAGAAGGAGCTTTATAAATAAAAGATTATGATGATGAGATTTCTTCCAGATACTTACAATAATGTACGGTCCACACACACTTTAAATTGTCTCATATGATGAACACAAAAATGATCACACATTTCTATTATTCTGATATATTCTGATATTTTTGTCCAGGGCAGGGTTGTCCAATCCAGGTCCTTGAGGGACTATTTAGCACTTTTTAAACATTTCTCTGCTCCAACACACCCAATCTCCACCAGCGGGTGATAAACAGGCACCTGCAGAAACTAATGACATGCTGAACTGGTAATTCAACCAGTGACTCAAGTGTATTGAGGCAAAGAACCCAACAAAAATATGCATGAATTGCAGCCTTAAAGAACCAGTGTTGAACTTCACTAATTTAGTAGAAAGAGTTTTGCATTTACAATATAAACATGTATGCAGGTGATTTTAATAGTGATTATGACATTATTGTACATGTAATATTCAAATCTTCACTTATATTTTCCAACTTTTTAAAATTATAATATACGACAGTCTTTTGCCATCAACATTTTCTTATTCTTATTCATATTCTGTAACTTATTACCGACTACATAAGCAGCCAAACCAAATGACTACAAATTACTTCACAAGCAAGTTATTTCATAGTAAACTGCAGGTAAAACTGGTCATGTGAAACTGGCAAAGCAAAACAATGACTGGGACGGAAAATAAATCATGCATTTTCAATAAGACACTGAAACTGGTTTGGTGGCCAGTGTTCTGGCAACTACAAAAATGCTTTTGGTTACAGATTCAACGATCATGCAAACACTTGGACTTTTTTCTCAGTAAGATAAATGAATGTCACATAACAGTGGTGAACACTGTACTTGGTGACCCTGGTGAACCCAGGTGTACTGAATTTAATACGCCATGTCCCTGTACTTTGTCCTTAGTACAGTGGTACATATTGTTACATTGTGCGCTGTTTCTCAGCTGTCTTTAGTCCTACAATCCACCCCATACCCTGTTACAACGAGGAAGGTGACTGTTACATATTTAGACAAACAAAGGCTATCTCATTTAAAGCTGAAAAAACCCTGGGTACTTTACTGTTGTAATACAGTAATAAGTCAACTTCTGTAATTGGGACTCAAGACTGTAAAATCATATAATACTGCAAATGAACTCGTGTGTGCAAATGGCGATACACTGGCCACGAAGTGTGTGGCGTATCAAACTTTAATTTAATAAACATAAGCAGGTTTGATGGGGGTGATCGACACACCGGAGGTGCTAACATCGGATCTAACTTTCCCCATCCACCCGACTACGATGAACTTTGACATTTACACAAGCCATCACGTGAACGATCCAGTTGCTTTAACATAAATGTACTAATTCGCATCGTTGCACCGGGCCGAACGTGCCGACTACCAAGCAGCAGACACTAGCACGTTAGCTAGCTACATTAGCTAGCTGCATTAGTTAACCCAGAACCGAGTTTTTTTGAGGCGCAACTTAAACAGAAACTCCATTCTTGTTTTACTATCGGTTTAATCGCACATTGTTATCTATCACAATAAAAAAAACGACATGCTTGTAAAAATGAACATCTACGTTACAGCGTCGAATGCGGGTGGGAACTATTTCAGCTGTCATTTGAAATAGCATAGCTAGTTAGCCTATGCTAACAGATAGCTTTGTATCCACTCAGAAGCTAAGTGCAGGCAAACGAAAGCTAGCGACCGCTCGTAGGAAGGTAGTTATGTCCCATTACTTAGTGAAATGGCACCGACGTGCCGACAATACGAACGCATTATGGTCACCAGTCCATACCAAATACGAAGTCTGCCAAACTCACCGTCTTGCCAGATTAGCGTTAAATGTTGTCCATTCCCTTCAAGTAGTTCGCTAACACTACAGCCAGGCCTCCCCCCCTCTCCAGTCCAGATGTGTCAGACAGCTGAGTTGCGGCTTCAATTTTAGCATCAACAGGAAGTGTTCTTTAGGCTCTTTGCATTCATTCTATCTCTGTGTTTTGCAGCAGCCCCTCCCTTGCTCATGTATGCTGAGATATGGAGCTATATGTGACGCGGTGGCGGACCTTCACGCGCACAAATGAATGTAAAGTTGCAACCGGCGATTCTCTGGAAGTTGTTTGTTTTCAGCAGAAAACCATAATGTTCCCTTATTTAGCCACACTGATTTACAGACACAGCGTCATCTTCTTTTGCCTTAAACCCGTGACATTAATCACCTGATGTAAAAGCTCTAGAATCTGATGATAACTTTGAAAAAATTAATATTTATAAATTTTCCAGCTGTTAAGCCTCCATCCTGTCCTTTAAAAGTATTGCTCAGTCCTCACTAGTTTTTTTTTAGTGTTCTTTGTTTTGTTTGTTTATTTTTTGTTATCATCAAATCTATCATAAAATGATAGAGATCTCAAAGTGGAAACACATCAGATTTGTTTTTATTTAACGATTTTTCATGTCATTAGTGTTTTAATACAACAAAGGTAAAGATAAACTTAAAAAAAATTTGCCCAGATTTTCCAAATGTCCTTGAACTTAGGAAATATTTTAAAAACCCTAATCATATTTTTTGGAAAGCCTGGAAAACTTTATTATAGTAATAAAAATAACAGGATTCGGGACTAGAGAATAAATAAAGGAGATGCTCAAATGTGTTTTATATAAAAAAATCATGTGTCAAATGCAGGTTTACTATTTTCTTTAATTTTTCTCAGATAAATGTAATTATTGTCTGAGACTTCGGATAAAATCAAAACTTAACTCTAAATATCATCAACATTTCCGCATTAACTTAATGAGAAATCCAAAAGTTATGTTTCATAAATCAACATAAAATGTTTCACTTTTCCATCTTATCCACGAGGTGGCGCCAGAGACCAGTGTGGTGAAGCCATCCCAAATCAGCTGACTCCGCCGCTACATGGGTTTTAGAGCATTTCAGGTGAAACCACGTGGTTAAATTAAAAAATTCACCATGAACACCGTGAAAATGAAATTAACGGTCCTTTTCAGTATTCCACATGTCAACTGTGTGCATATTAATCAGGGGGTATGAGTGGTGTGTAATAATGAGAGAAAATTTGACACTTTTCTGTAAATGGGACAAACACAAGCAAATAAGACAAAACTGTAAAAAAATGTTCATCACAGTCATCTTTTCTGCATTCTGGATTACAGCATGTTAACTATTAGCACTTACTAGAAATAAACATTTAACACCAATTTTTTTACTCAAATTCACAATCATTTGTAAATTATAAGGCTTATAAACACTATGTCATATGAATAATAACAGCTTGATGTATGTTTTTTATTATTTAGGTGGTGAAACAAGTAAACCTTTGTGCTTTGTCTCCTCTCTGGAGGTCTTTATCTTCTCCACCTGAAGTGGAGAGCTGGTGAATGTGTGCTGTGTGGGTTTCTTCTCTTTTTTATCGAGTGTGAGTGACAGTCTGGCAGCTCAGGTGAATATCTGACCTAATCTGTGTGCAGGTGGATGATCAACACTGAGAAAGGAATCGCTTTGTCATTGCACGTGCTCCTTGTTAAACAAGTCACTGTTCTTTTCTCCATAGTGACTTGCTTCTTTTTTCTTCTTCAGTAGGTTGATGCACAACTGAAGGCGCAGCCAAAGTACGGTGATTAGAGATGCTTGTGTTGATGCGCGGGAATGATCGGGGTATTGATAACGCTGCAAGCAAACTCATAATCAAAGGCTTTCTTGTTGGAGTTGTAATCTTTTCTGAAATGGGGCTTTGTTAGCTCAGTGTCATTCGGTTGACCAAGAATGATTTGGCAGTAAGCTAATGGGGATGGCTCTGAATGCTGCAGCACCCAGGAACGCATGAGGGGCTCCAGGTGGTGTGGCCTGGGGGCTCTGATGTGCTGCTCCTGTTTAATCCCAGATGACATTGCAAAATCCTCCAACCCCATGCCCCTGTAAGACTGTGCAGCAGCAGAGAGCAGATTAAATTTTGAAGGAGCACATATTGTGTGTCAAACTGGGGGAATAAGGAGCTCTACTGTTTTGTGTTAAGCCTCACATTTTCTGCCTCACGTCGAAAAAAATGTATTTATATTCACATTATAAATGTGTTTAACTGTCAGATTTATTCCACCGATTGCAGCAGACTGTCTTTCATGTGCAATTTCTTCTGCTTTTTTTTTTTCAACATAAAACTATTCAAACAATTAGAGTTCAGCTCCAAGCCTAATTTGCTCGTTGATGTAGGAGTCGTCGTCTACTTCTTAAGCTTTGCATGAATAACACATTGTTTTCGATGAGTGCCTAAGAGTCCCAGAATACCTTGGCTGTCATTGCTGGGGAGAACAATGGTCTCCCAGTGCTGCTGTCCAGAAATAGTCTATAGCTCACTGATGGAGAGCATATTTCCCAATAGCAGGTGTCTGAGCCCGTCAGAGCTTGATCCTCACCATGACTGTAAATGAAAGGGCCAGCTCGGCCAGGTGCAGGAGCTCCTCTCTCTGGCCCTCTCAGGTTTCCCCATCATGGTGGAATGATCAGGAGAAACATTTCAAATGAAGAAAAACGGAGATAAAACACACACATGCTAACAGCTTCAGAGTTCTTCAGATAAATGACACAAATGATAGGGTGGATTTGCATCATTCTTTAATGCTTTCAATGTTTTAAGATCATAAAATATTTTGTTACTTTAAATTTGACATGTCTGTATTTCAATTAGAAAATCAGCTGGGTTCCAACTAGATCCGTTCAAGACAAATCCTCAATTGCTTTTAAAAAAAGGGGAGGAAATCTGGAGCCCAATAATTACTGGCATTGCAAGGATAATGAGCTCTCAGATGTGTCATATATTTGCCTGAGAAATTAAGCCAATTTGTGAAAATGGTGGCCGGGGGTTGCAGGAGCACAGAGTGGCTTGTAAAGATGAGTGATCTCTGGCACAGCATGAAGAGAATGAGAGGTGTGCTGCCCGGTGCTTAGCTCAAATGAAAGCTCTGATTAGCGGAGCAAAGATCAAAATGACGGAGCGGCCGAGGCTTCAGCTGGGCTTTTGTTATTGATAAGTCTGTCATCTCCACTGATATTGGAGCAGTAATGGCAGCCGATGATTAGGCCACTCTTGAGCTATTAACTACATTTCTTGTCCTTTTACTGAGGCCCGGGAGAGCCCGTTTGAGAGACAAAGGTGTCCTTTATGAGGCCGGCTTCTTAAACGCCGTCCACCTGACCTAAAAGGCACAACTGTTACGTCTTCCTGGCCGGCCAGAGAAGCCAGGGACCAGATACATGTCAGAGGTCGCGGTGCACTGTTGTTTGAAATGAAGGGGTTCTGAGTGAGTAAGCTGCTGACAGAAGGTTGCAGGAAAATTACAGAAAATTGGCTGTTTTGTCAACATTTCATCAGAAGATTTACAGAAAGCTGACCCGGGCCCTTTCTCTTCCAGCCCCCCGTCACAGGAATAAGGAGATTGAGTGGGTCGGAATTGACTGACAAACAAATCTCTCCTTTATTTCTTCCTCGCTTTCTTTCCTCTCTCTAGAAGTGATATTTAATATGATCTCTTTTTAATGATCCTAAGTGGGTGAAATTACATATCCTCAACACATATTGTTGAGGCTGTTTCAGACAGATTCTGGGGCGTGCCGAGGGCATAAAAAGTAATCATCAAAAATGTTTCAACTCTCAGGTGAAAGGAATAATGAGCCATTCATTTGGTGATATTACACCATAGTGTGCATTGATCTAGCACGCTCATTTTAAGATTTCTCTTTATATAATGATACTGGTGTGAGGCGGGATCAATAAGAGGAAGTGAGAGCCACTGTGATCAGCACCCACAGGGCACATTTGTAGGTGGCAGGGTGAACATCTAAAGATTGTAAAGAAGGATAACTAAGTTTAAGTTTTAAACGTTTTCTATTCAAATTTTGATTAAAATAAAACGACCATACAGTCTTTTTGGTGCCGTGTTCCCATTTTCATCTCTATGCGTGGCGACTGACTTCAGCTCACTGTTTGCTGTCTTTGGCATTCCCTTACAAAGGCCAGCAGGAATCCAAGGATTGCTGATTTAGCCCCCAGTGGCCGGAGGTAAAGCATCTTTCATTAACGTCTAAAACCTCAGGAATGAGATACTGGCTTCACGATAAGATCTGGTAATGCAGTAACATGGAATTATGGAAGAAGAAAATTGCCATTTTGTATATAAGCACCTGTGATCTCCCATGAAAGCCCCCTGTTCCCCTAGCTTGGGTCAGTCCCAGGAGAGAGGGGAGAGGGTCCCAGAACCCAATCCACCCTGCAGCAGAGGTTTCTCAGGCTGGAGGGTTGGAGCAAAGCACAAGGTGCAGGAGGCTCAGCTCAGAGAAGCAGACAGTGATCTGATGTTCTTGCTAGAGACTATCATCTTCTTACTCTGAAAGAGTTGACCCCACCTGATCAGAACTGCTTTTGTCAGCAATCACTTCAAAAAGCTTTCAAAATGATAAATAAGAGGGCTGCTGGGAAGTCCTGTGCAAACATGGCAACCTTTACGCATTTACTGATATTTCAAAAATAATTTTTTACTAATAGATCAAGCTGGGAACATGCTAGCAAGTGTGAGCGTCCATCTTTCTGCAGACAGAAGCAGAGCGGATCACAAACATGAGCATCTCTAGTTTTTAATTTTGGTTCATATCATTCATTTTCGCATTATGATGCTAAATAACATCCTAATTAGAGCAAAGCATTTCCTCATTCCTGATAAAACCACCATCCCCTGGCATCCATACACATCAAAACAAGCATACCAATAAGTGGATATGGTTAATAGAAACTAATTCAGGTGGTTTGTAATGAGTGTTCAGTGTGAGATGAATCAAACAAGAAAACCAAACGGGGGGAAGAGAAAAGTCCGATCTCTTCTGTACAGTTTCTTCATCGCCTCTTTAAAATTTAAAGCACTTGGCACACAGCCTGTGGCAGGTTCTCCTGAGGAGTAGCAATCAGAGCCAATGGTGCCATCATTCTTCCACTGTCCACTTTGGAACCCAACACGGACACCCGGGATATGCATATTTTATAGGACGTTCATGTGTTGAATCTCATCATCTTCATCAACCTTTATTTATAAAGCACATTTAAAT